ACAAGGTAGCCCAGATATTTTACTTCTTCTTGTGCCCATGCACACTTGTTCACATTCAGAGTGAGACCAGCATTCTGGATCCTTGCCATTACCACCTTTAGATGTTGTAGGTGATTCTCCCAAGTTTCACTGTAGATCACAACATCATCCAGGTAGGCAGCAGCAAACTTTGAACAGTCACTAAGAATAATGTCCATCAACCTTTGAAAGGTAGCTGGTGCTCCATGAAGACCAAATGGTAGAACCGTGTAATGAAATAAACCCATTCCTGGAATCTGAAAGGCTGTGTATTCCTTACAGGATGGATCTAAGGGCACTTGCCAGTAACCCTTACATAAATCTAATGTTGTGATGTATTTGGCTTTCCCCAGTCTTTCCAGTAGCTCGTCAATGCGTGGCATGGGATAAGAATCAAAACAGGAAATGCTGTTTAACTTTCTTAAGTCAGAACAAAAACGTAGTTGATTTGAGTCTTTTTTAGGAACCAACACAATGGGATTTGACCACTCACTTCTTGATGGCTCTATAACTCCCATTTCCAGCATCATCTGGACCTCTTTTTTCAGTAGATCCATCAATCTTTCTGGAATCCGGTAAGGCTTAAGACGAACAGGTGTTGTATCTTTCAAAATTATTTTGTGTGTTATAATTTCAGTTCGCCCAGGTACATCTGCAAACAGAGATGGAAAAGACTGTTTAATCTCACCCAGCTGTTGCCACTGATCAGGAGTCAGATGCTTAGGAGCCTTTTCAGATTTGGTCAATTCTCTCCATGGACTCATTTCAGCTTCCCCATCTTTCAACACGGCACTGTCTTCTGGCTGAACATCTTGTACCATCAGGATCTGCTTCACATCCATTTCTGGAACATTTCTTTCATGATACTCCTTTAATAGATTTACATGAAGCAGTTGCCTTGACTTTTGTTTTTCTGGACAGATAATTTCATAAGTCACTGGTCCTGCTCTTCTAACCACAGTGTAGGGTCCTTGCCATTTAGCAAGCAACTTACTTGGCCCACTGGGCAAGAGTACTAAGACTTTCTGGCCAGTCTTCAGCTCTCTTTCACGGGCACGTCTGTCGTACCATACCTTTTGCTTATGTTGAGCCTTCTCCATATGATCTTTAACTTGTTCTCTGTACTTTTCCAGGTTGTCTCTCATCTGAAGTATGTAGGAGATGATGTTTGTTGGTGAAGCTGCTTCACTGGACCCTGACGCCACTCCAGCCATCCAGTTCTCCTTCAGCATGTCCAAAGGGCCTCTAATCTGTCTCCCATAAAGTAACTCAAAAGGAGAAAAACCAGTTGAGGCTTGTGGTACTTCTCTGTAAGCAAACAAAAGAAAAGGCAACCATTTATCCCAGTTTTTGCCAGCATCATCAATAAACTTTCTCAACATTTGCTTTAATGTACCATTAAATCGTTCTACCAAACCATCAGTTTCTGGATGGTATGGAGTAGTACGAATACCTTTTACACCCAGGTAATCATAAAGAGTTTTCATCACTTGTGACATGAAGTTGGTACCCTGATCTGTCAGAATCTCCTTTGGGATACCAACTCTGGAGAAAAGGTCTACTAAACACCGAACAATGTGTTTGACCTGCAGAGAACGTAATGGATAAACATCTGGATATCTGGTTGCATAATCACAGATGACTAATGCATATTTATGGCCATTACTGTTCTTAGATAAAGGACCTATGATATCCATGGCGATTCTCTCGTAAGGAACACTCATTATAGGTAATGTCTGCAACTGGGCACGGTCTGAAACTTTAGTAGGGGCCACCAACTGACAGTCATGACATGTTTTGCAGTATTCAACTACATCTTTATATAATCCTGGCCAATAAAAACGTTGGGCAATACGATTATAAGTTTTTGCCTGTCCTAAGTGCCCTGACCATGGTATAGTGTGACCCAAATGCAGAATTACTGAACGGTATTCTTTTGGCACAACAAGTCTGGGTTCATCAATGTCTGCTAGATACAAAAGATTATCCCTTATAATGAAAGGCTCTCCTGCTAAACTTTTAAACTCAGCAGCACTCTCTTTTCCACCATCTTTATGTGCTTTATTAAAGAGAGGTTTCAAAGATGGATCGTTTTCTTGTCTCTCTTTAAAGTTGTTAGGAATTTTCCACTGGAAATCAATACATGGAGTTAATGGCAATGCAGGTTCAGGGTGTTTTGACCTGCTTTTGTTCTTATTTTTCTCCTGTCTACGCTGTCGTTTTGATTTCCTGATTTTATTTCCTCCTTCATATAGATCATCATCTACATCTGGCAGAGGTTCTAAACCCTTTTTCATGGAACGTGTGGCAACATCACAGGAATAAGCCACCGAGTTTTCTTGAACCAAACTGTCTAGGATTGGTAAATCTTCTCCTAGGATAACATCATATGCTAGCTGATTCAAAACTCCAACAGTCAACATAAAAGCTTGTCCTTCAACATTAATAGTGACATCAGCAGTTGGATACTCTTTCTGACATCCATGAACACAAGTAATGTTTACCGGTTTGTTAAAGTTAGGCAGTACATTACTCAACAAAGATGATTTCACCAGAGTTTGTGAGCTACCCGTGTCTGCAAGAGCTTTTACAGCTTTGCCATTTATCACCACATCAACTACATGTTTATGTGGAATCATGTCCTCAGAAAGTTCATAATTATGTTCTTTGGAAGGTACGACACATAACTCTACTGACTTACTTTTTCTTAATGGACATAAAGAAGCTTTGTGACCAGGCTGCTGACAATAGTAACAAATGAGACCATACTGTATACATCTTACCACCCCTCTTGTCCAAATTGTCAACATTAGTTGCACCTGGGGGTTTTACCTCCATAGACCTTGGTCTCTCAGTCTCTCTTGACTTAAAAGGTTCTCTATGAGCAGCCAGGTAACGTTCAGCCAGGTCTGCCGCTTCTTCTCCAGTCTTTGGATTGTTCTCCTTCACCCATGTGCGGACGTCTGGTTGAAGCACACGAAGATACTGCTCCAAAATGATTGTTTCCCCAATCTCTTCTTTACTCCGACTGTCAGGCCGCATCCATCGCTTGTAGAGTCCCTTTATCCGACCGTAGGTTTCACGTACACTCTCTCCCACTGGAACACTGATGCTTCGAAACCGGTATCTGTAGGTCTCTTCTGTTACATTAAACTTAGTCAACACAGCAGCTTTAATAGCGTCATAAGAGTCAGACTGGTCCTCATCCATTCCAGCATATGCCTCAAGGGCTTTTCCAGTCAATAATGTGACCACTCTAGCAGCCCATTCAGCTGGTTGCCATCCCCACGTTTTAGCAATGCGTTCAAAACGTATGAAAAAACTTTCAGGATCCTCACCTTCCTTAAAGTCAGGTATTCTCGGATCACCTCCACGGGTTGGTTCCACTCTTTGTGCTGGAGCTCCTTGTGCTATATGCCGCTGGGGCTGAGATGGAGAATGAGGTTCAGCTTGGTAATCAGAGGCTCCTTGGACTTCCTCTGTTGCAGACAGCTGAGACAGTGTCCTAGTCTCTCGCTTTGGGAAAGCTGCTTCTGTAGAAATGCCAGTCTCGATAGACAGCTCATGTTCAGCATAAACATCACTTCGCAGTTTTGGCATGGTACTGCGCAACTGTTTGATCTGATCAAACAGTATTGCTTCTGTTCGTTTAGAACGTCGCATAAATTCTCTTATTTCATCAAAGATGTCAGCTTCAGAATGTTCTTTACTCACAGCACCAACTGTGGTCTGCTTAGGCCGCACAACTGGTTCAAAAATGTCTTCACTAGCCATGGCTCCTTCAGGTAGTGAATCCGGCTCTGCTGGTCCTCCGCTTTGTCCTTCTTCCATTTCAGAAAGGGGGCTTTTCTTTGTCCCACGAGTTCTTCCACGTCCTCCTCCTCTCATTTAGCCTGTCGTCTTCCTTCATTCACAGGCGTAAACCATCCCACTCCTGACACCACTGTTACACTGAGAGGTGTGGTGTGGAAGAAAAAAAAACTCCTCAAAGTTGGTTGCAGCACAAACAAAGGTGGTTTATTCGGTCTCCTTAAGCACAGCACGGCTCACAGACAAGACAAAACATGACATCTTCGAGCTTTCTCCCTCTTATATACTGTTGTCCCCACCCTCTCAATCAACTGCCCAGCCAATCAAAGTCCGGCAAACATGGGCCTCCTCCCCGGCAGGCTCCAAGATGGCCGCCACAAGGACACACCCAAAAGGCAACAAACACTAAACAAACAAAAGGATCACATACACACACTTTAGAACTCAAACGCCACAGAAAATATTATTGCTTCTTAACAGATAGAGAATTATGGAGTGAAAATAGTCTCAAAATATCTGTGCGTGTGTAAAAAGATTTGTGTGTGTATAAAATGGTTTGTGTTAAAAATAAAATAAACCTTCTCCTACGCCTATACATGTTGAAAAAGTACACACAAATCACCTGGTACGCACACACAAAACTGCATTTACACACAGATCCGGTTACGAGTGCACAACTATTTTTGAGAGTCATTTCACGCTTCGGGGAAGCGTGAAAAAAGAAGCAAGACGGGACGCTCCGT